ATCACCGCCGGTTTCGTCCTGAAAACACAGTTACTTATCTAGTGAAAACCATAGTGACCTTGTATGTATGTGCTCTTTACAGTTCTAGTCAATCAAATCAACCAAACAGAAATAAGAGTAGGGACTCGGAGTTCAGAGGTCCAAACAAGGAAAATGGAATGAATTATTTGCTCTACTTGCGCTGTTATAGATTAATATTGTTCCTCTAAATCACCCAGCCTACAACAAAGGGAAATGTAGCGATCTTTATGTTCTGCGATTAATGAATATGACCAATGAAGTTAACCAAGTGAATCAAATGTGGAATGTCTATTAATCACATCATACCATTACTCACGAACATTGAGGAAAAAAGCAAATTTTCAAGAAAAAGTGTCAAAAGAGTTTATCGGAAAGTTATAAAAGTGACTTTTTCAACAACATAGGAGCCAAGATCTATCGCCAGCAATTCCGATGATCAACATAACTCCTAACGTTTGCTTCGCTATACCAAATTTTCGTATTATATTTGAACCGCAAAATACTTCATCGCTATATCGTCCTTATTGGATATTCACCAGAGATTTCTCTACATGTGGAACTTATATATTTTGCTACAGAAAAACTTCACATTCATCTAATCAGATTAACATAGAAGAATCTTCTATCGAGAAAATTTACTTCCATTTTTGAACCGGTTAGATATTTTACCCTGATGGTTTGCATGGCCGCTTATTTAGAAAAGAAGAAGAAAAGGCTCTTCAAGCGAACAAACCGGTTCCTGCAATCCCGCACATTTATACAGTTAAATTCCAAGTTTTTGAAGTGTATGTTCTCTTTCCGCACTAAGAATATGTATCAAGACATCCATGCATTTTGATGCGATAACGAGTAAAAGACTTTGAAGGTGTTTTGCATCAATTCTACAGATAAAGAAAAGAAGAACACAGATACTTGCTATTTGAATTCAAATGTAATACTAGGAAAGTTAAAGGTGAAATGATACTTTCAAAGTTAGAAGATCAGGCTCTTCCCTCTTGCTTGACTGTAGTAATAACGTCGAGGATTATACTCATTCCAAACTTTTGGAGCACGATTTATTGTAAATTTGCTATCTCTAGCCTTCTAACACACTCTAGGCCTCAAGATGAGCTTCGTCAATGAAGCATTGGACTTAGCTGTGTCGAAACCTTCCCATCACAGCAATGCAAGCTTAACTGTCAACCAATTCTATTACCTTCTCTTGCAGCTCACTCAGTCAACGCGCCGTTGAAAAACAGCTCAAACATCTTGGCACGTCATAAATGATGTCATAAGTGTCGCGAAAATTGAGTTTTTGTTAAGTATCCAATTTCCACATTTCTGGAGCCTAAGAGAAATCGCCAAAGCCAAGATGATACCTATATTAAATTGAATTTGCGAATGTAGACAACACGTCATTCGTGGGAATAAAGGAAAGCTGATCTTTCGCATGGGGATGTGTTATCAAATTCTACAATTTAGGTAGGACTGTGGAGCCAGAGAAGATCACTATTGTGATGGTAGAAGTCTTCGAGAAGATAATGTAGAATGTAGAATAAAACCTTTCAAATTGTCTCAAAACTTGGCAACTAATCAAGCAACTTTTTCGGCATTTCCGAGAAAGGTCCACAACTATGATCCACTATGAAGTTCCACTGAATCGCTGTTGATCATCACTTTGAAAATGAGGTTTTCAAAGCTATATTATATTCCTGAATAACTTTGAAGCTTCTGCGATAAGTTCTGCCACAACTTCGTAATTTATAACGCCTTTTTGCAAAAGTCAACTTGTTGTACTTGCATAGCTTACAACTAATCAGAAGTTTCGGAATTGGAGAAGAAGCATAGCTATCCCTAAAGAAACAGTAAATAGATCACATTTTTCGAATTTCAGTTAAATAGGTACACATTGTCCTGGCCGTGGTTAGCTCAGTGGTGTTTTTTTTTGAACAAAACCTTATATATATAATGTTACAAAAGCCTCAGTGATTGAAGCATAAGAAGTGAGTTGCAATAAAATCAACTTTTCATTTCAAGGTAAAGAGGAAAGTGGTTGTTCCTTCCATTTTTTCCAGATTTTATTTTAAACTTTTGAAATTCACTAAGTTATCCCATTCATTCATGAGCCAATCTTAAGGCAAGAGGACGAGCTCTCTTACTTTCAGAGGTCAATTACACAACATTAGCTGCTCTGATCGAACTTGGAATTTAGTTCTAAATAAACCTCTCGGGCGTAACTCGGGTTACCAGATACTACCTTTATGAAAAATTGGACTCTATGCTGACTTTCAAAATACTCCCATAAAAGTTCTGTTTGGTGTTGGAAGCCAATAGTATTCAAGAACGACGCGCGAACACATCTACAATTCTCTTTCCACAATCAGATCCATGTTTTCTCTCTCGATTTACACAAACGTTGATTCTAAAGAAAACGAGAACAACGAACTTAAGGACCGCGTGGGCTGCAGGGCAGATGCAATGGGCGAAAAAGACAACTGCGCACTATCGAAAGTCACCACTACCTGAAGTGCTGAACCTACATCGAATTGCGTTAAAGCTGCTGAAGGGGGAGGTTGTAAGAGCACATAATAACTAAGCTCACAAAGAGCTTTGATGAAAGCTGCGAAATGGAAACAGTGAAAATATTGCGAAATATGAGTACCTCTTCATCCGACTTGCACTCATCGGCATCTGATGGTTCCTCCTCCCACTCAGCGTCAGAGTCGACCTAAAATCACTCGATAAAATTTTCAAAAATCAAAATTTTAAGGAGAATAGACTAGAAAATATATTAAGTTATGACCTCATAATCAATTTTCTCCTCCTTATGTGAGAATGGACGCCGACCTGTGATGACTTTGCTACGAGTGCGCCAAGTCCCATAGTACGGCGGGCGATAGTTATCGTGGAACTGGTACAATTTCGCTCGCATAGGGCTGAAAGAGTACATATTTACAAAATGCTTCGGATTTTGTCCCTTCAACATTTAAGCCCAACATAATAGACAACTCACTTAACAGAAGCTCCAACAAGTTTCTTGGGATTAATAGTAAGTGATGACAAATATGATGTTTGTGAGACCTCAAAGTGATGACATTGAAAAAAGTATGAAAGATGAGTCGGGTAAAACTGCCAAAGAATTAACACTTACTTCTAGATGCTGTTCAAGTATATCATCCTCCAGCTTAAGAACGGCTCGCCTTTGCAGTGGGGCAAGTGTCATACCTTCTTTAATCTAAATTCACAGACTTCTCTAATTTTCGAAAATCAGTACTTTTTCAAGATTCAGTCATCCAAACTTAAAGATGTTCAATAACGGAATAACAAAAATTCAACAGTAAATCCAAGTGAAATTCAA